CCACAGAAACTGAAAAGAAAATGAATTCCTTTTAAAAAAGAGTATATTTTTACTAAGGAAAACTTTTATTTAAACTGTGCAATCAATCAGTATTTAGACAGCAGTTTCATAAACATTTTGGCATTTAAACTTCTATTAATTTTTGGCATGACCTTTGGGTAGTACATAAACAACCCTGAAAAAAAAAACACACACACTAGGTAACATTTACTAGAATGCTATAAAAAGAAAAACAAATCCACATTATTAAACAAAATATTTTTAAAAAGACATGAAAAGGGTACATTCAAAATCAAGGCAAGCATTAGCCTCCCTCATGCAATGGAATTCACAGAGCTGATCCCCTGAGTCAAATATAAAATTAATATAATTCAGCTCTATCCTCCATTAGCAAGTCAGCCATTGCTGCCCTTACAAGAAAATGGCATACAGGAGTGAAAGGATCCAGAACACCCACCATATGAGATACATAACTGGGTCCTACACTTGCAATTAATTCACACTTTTAAAAAACAAAACAAAACAAAACAAAAGGCAAAACAACCAAAAAGCAACATTTTTGTATATAAAAAAAAAAAGTAGATTTCATATACAATCAGTTTTTACGGAAAACACCAGGCAGATACAATGAAGGTATATGTAATACCAATGTAATAGCAAATTCCTACAATGGGCTCGATTCACTAATAAAATTGTAGGATTTCTGTTCTCAGGCCCCAGTTCAGCAAAGCACTTACGCATGTATTTAAGTCCCTTTAAAGTAAATCAGGGCAGATGTTACAGTGGTGTAAATCTAGAGAAAATCAATTGAAATAAATTAAATCACACCAGATTTATATCAGCACAGCTGAGAGCAGAATTTAGCCTGAATTCAACTTATTTTTTGATGTTAGAACCAAGATGGATTTAACAATATGATGATAATATGAATCAGGTACTAGTTTTTGTGTTAAATATTTGAAGAGTAATAATATTTTTAAAGGCAATTTCATAGAAAATGAGGTTTCATAAAAAGAAAAAAATTGTCTTAAAATACAGTTCTTTAAGTTAGTTACAGACACGCTCTTAAGAGTTCCTAGAAATAGACAGAGTCCAATCTCCCTCCCCTGATAACTACTTGGTACCAGCAGCTCTAGAGTTCCAGTAGCTAAGCTCAAGATATTTAGTAGCATTAACTGATCAACAGTGCACTAAGGTTAACCAGGAACATTGGAAGACACTGGAATTAGCACTTACCTGTCCCTGAAAATATTTTTTCAAAAACCTCCAACAAGAACAGATTGCGTAGTTTCAAACAAATACTTAAATTTGTTAATTATTTATTAATCCTACTCTAGTACAAATCATTAGTAAATTGGGCCCATTGTCATTTAAATGCTGACTTAGGTTATACTTCAAAGACTTGGAAATACCTTATGAACAGATATTTATTTGGAATGAGCATTTAAAATTCTTTTTTGTTACACTGAACTTCTAGCTATCCCAATAATTTTAAATATCTGGTAAAAGGTTGGTTTAAATCACTATGAGAAAAAAAGGCCTTTTGAGGTTACTGCATTACAGTATCACTTTCCAAAGGGCTTGTTCTGAATTATAAAACCGTAAATACACACATGAGGCAGTGTACTTTTCCACCACATATTAGTCTAGATTCTGCTCTCAGTTGCATCAGAGTAAATCCAGAGTAACTTTGCTGACATAAGTGAAATCACTTCTGATTTACACCAATGCAAATGAGATCAGAACCTGGCCCTGCTATGCTGTGTTTTCAGAAGACTTTCATACAATGGCCTTGATCGCTGCATGCCACTCCTTCTGATGTCAATGGGAGTTTTGCCACCAACTCAGAATGATGTTATGAATAACAGTCCCTCTGCAATAAATGGAGTGAACATGATCATGCAGCTCTTACTCGATTTTAATGGGAATTTTGCCTGAGACAGGATTGCAGAATTAGGCCCTTTGAAGTACACTTAGGACACTAAAATACAGTTTTTAATGCCCAATTCTGTTTGTTCACATCAAGCAAATAATCCCACTGAAATCAAAAGAACTATTTATGGGCCTGATCCTGCACCACTGAAATTAATGTGAATTCTGCCATTGACTTCAATGGGAGCAGGAGCAGGGCCTATGTGAGCAAGACAAACAGGATTCAGCCTTAGTTTAAAGCAATGGGATAAAAACACAGAGCAAAAGAGTGTGACAAATAATATAAACTGGTACACACACCTTAGAATACTTTCTCTTTGTCAAAATCCCATAAGTTTGGGAAGAAGCAGCTCAGTAAACTGATGTCTATACTGTGCCATAGTGCAGACTATGGGGGTGCAGGGCACACCAAAGTGTTGTGCTCTAACTGGTCCACATGGACAATGCTGGTGTGAACTAACAGGTACCTAAGTTTGCGATTATGTAGTGCTGGTTGAAGGAGGTAGCTAGGGCACAAGACTTTGTGTGCTCTGCAATTCAATTCACACACCCCACAGTCCGCACGCTGTGGCACAGTGCAGACAAGCCCGCAGTCAATGAATAAACCGGTAAGTGTTTCTTTTACAAGAACAGATCTGTGAAAAAGAAGTTCAGTTGAGATGCAGCAATTCTACAAGGGAAAACTAAAAGCATTCTTCCAGGAGAATTCTTGAAAGCTGGCAATTGAAAGACTTTCATGGTTTCTGAAATGCACAGAAAATAAATCAATGCAGCCTCAAGCATGCTGGGTCTTTTGGTTTGTTCCCAATTAATTCATTCACTCGGTCAATTTTAGGATTTTCTCTGTAAGTTTTTCCATGCAAGCTTCCAAGTCTCTTCAACTGGATTTCTTTTTTAAAATACGAGGGTTGCACATACGCTCATTACACCAGCCATGGCTCGCGAGTTCTTAACACATTTAACAAAATCAGTTCACAAGGTGTAACAGAAAATTCCACATTTATGGTCGTCTTCCAAAATATACTCAGTAAAATTCATAATTAGAGAATGGGTGTTTTCTCATCTCCAGAGCCCAGGATCTGTGGACACAGACAACAAAAATTTCTGCATATTCTATGATTATTTTGCCTGTAGAGTTTTGTCACACATTCCTATGGCCAATGGAATGGACAAAGTCTGCAAATGAAAACAGCCCTTTAAGAATCATAAATGTATTTGAAAGTTCATTCCCATAACTCTCAAAGTAATTACATGCATTATTAATCATATGGCACCCTTACTGGCTCTATGTCCTGAAGGATACCACAACAGTTAAATTGTGTGTTTGATTTTGCTCCCACTTGAGTCCATAGGAGTTCTGCCATTGATTTCAATGGGAACAGCATCAAAGCATATGTGTAGGAATTACCTTGCTCACACTAGGCTTCTCCTGAATTGTAAGAAAATTTGTTTCCCATAAAATACTATTTTTGTGATAAAGTCCAAATTATCATGAGGCCACATAAATCTTTGCTGTGATCATACTCTTTGTTCCATAGTAAGAATGTATATTAGTTTGGATTAGGTTTATGACAAAGTAAAGGGAAGTATGTCCATATCGGCTAGGTTCTGGAGATAGACATTATATTTGGTTAACATAAAACAAAGAAAAAGACAGAACAATTTATTGTCTAACTAAGTTTGCCTATATGCTGAGGTAACCTTAAATATCTTTGGTTTTCTTCATTTGCTGATAAAAAGTACTTGAATGACAATGTATGGATAAACAGCATTGTGGATGTATTGCTCTTTAGTAAATTTAATACTTCAATCTCTTTGGCTACTGAGGCTAGCTAGACTCTCTATCAGACTGAAAAATATTGGTATCTAATCTGTTCCTCTCTGATTATTTACAGGTTAACCTATGTAGCTGATCTTTGGCATGAAAAAGTTGAGGAGTAGAGTTAATGGTAATGTGTGGCATAAAAGCTGTATCAGTGTATCAGTACTTACAGCAAACAAGTCTTTGGAGAAGAAAAATAGTTACCCTTTGCATATCAGCACTTTTTGAGTGAAACACTAAAATGAGGCTAATCTGAAAGAAAAAGTGTGAAACTTCATGCTATGGTTACACATTCTTATCTAGTTTCAAAGAATTCACATTTTAGCTATCTAGAAACAGTACTTTGCTGTACACTAAATATTTTGCCTGATGAGACCAAAAAATAAATCTTTGGTGAAAAGGTTTTCTTTTTCTTCAGCGAGTAGATATAAACTATTCAAAAATATTTTATCTAATACTGTATTGTTGAAGAACTACATGCTGAAGAAAAAAAACCAAATTACACTTGGAAGTCTTTGGAGATATCTGCTGGTAAGACATTATTACAACTTTCTTTAAAGGCTCTTGTAACAATAAGGTAGTTAAAAATTGTAGAAGCATACAACTAAACTATGCAATCAACTACTACAATCAATAGAAGCCCTATTGTTTTTCTGTTAGTAACTACTTATACAATAAAATGTATTCAGCTCTTCAAATCTATAGTTTTTAACTAATTCAATTATTTTTGGAAAATAATATGCAGTTTTCTTCTTTTTTTTCCACAGAAAATTCTTTGGTATAAGATTATTTTAAAGCCTTTCTATCAACAATGCTATGAAAAGGTGAACATGTACTGTCTGGTACAGAATGAACAAACAGTTACAAGCTAAAGATCTATAGTAACTACAGGCCGCTTCATCAAAAAATAAAAATAAAATAAATAAAAACAGAACACTAGGGCTTATTGATGGCTTTTGACTAGCTTCTGAGTTGTAAGTAAGCAGCCAAAAGTAATTCAGATCACATAAGGGGTGAAATCTTGGTGTTAATTAAGCTGATGGGAGTTTTGAAACTGAGGATTTCACCCGAGCTGTTTTTCCACAACCTTAAATTTTTGACATTTTGAAAAATATAAACAAACGTCTAATTTTCTTTTTCAAAATGAACTGTGGGGGGAACGGTCTATGAACTAGTTTACGACATTGATTAATTCGACCCCCATCCCCACCCCGCCCATTAAAAACAAAAACATGATACCCTGTCAGTTTGCCCCACATTTCTCTGAGGCAGGTCAAAAGTAATACACTGTTCCCTGAGTACAGGAAAAAAAAATAACACTAGAATAACTTTAAAAGGAGGTAGTATAAAACAGGAATTGTATGGGTACGAGGCAGTATCAACATTCACCCTTTCAACAGACTTTTCAACTAAAGCTCTGTCTTTTTATTTTTCATTGAGGCTTAATTAGAGTTTTAGACTGGCATGTGGTTGAAGTCACTCCCTGAACTAAAATTCCTCACTAATAGCATCCTAAACTGAGGCAAGAAACAGGACTGCATTTTAACAACAGCTCAGACATACTGCAGAGCTGGGTAAAACTGAAATATAATTACTAATCTCACAATTTACCCAGAAATCTAAGAAGCATTTAAGGCATCTTTCTATGCTCCGAAGCAACTTTATGAATGCTAAGAAGGCATAAGGCAAAGTAGTAATTTCATTATATATAATGGAAGGCACCATTGCTATGAAGTACAGGGATACTGAAACATTCAGCATTACTTGTCTATTCTATGTGTTTTTTTCAGGCAGAGTTTTCACACCACTCCAAGCTGGCTGGAAGCTGAATACTAATTAATTTCACCAAGCTTTCTAGCATTAATCGTCAATAAAGGAGCAGTTTTATGTCTTTGTGGGGAATCCAGCATGCCCTAGAGCCCTGTGGATTTAACATACATCCCGTCAGCAACTGCTGGCACAACAGAACTGTGTGGAAAAGGCACTGTCCTCTGTAGGCTGGGACACTGGAAGATATAGCAATCAAGTGGGTTAAAAGGAGAGCCCAATTACTTTTTAGAGACTCAAAGTAGCGGTTTACTGAACATTTTGAAGTACTAACTCCATTATTCCCACACTGATGCACAGTTTTCTCAAAGGTAACAGCCCTACAGTTTTCTCATTTGATGTTCTTCAGGTCAGTCATGTTAAATCATTTACTAATCCCCTCAGGGGTCCCTCTTTTTAAAGTCAGAGCTTCAGCTAAACTGTCTTGTTCATCTACCTATACAACTCCTTTGATTTCTCTCTCTCTCTCTCTCTCTCTCTCTCACACACACTCAGACAACATACAGCCAAAAAAAAAAAAAATCCTACTAGGAAGTATCATCAGTTATGTAGCTGAGACCAACTATAATACAAATGAGGTAAAGCAGTTGTCATTCAGAGTTCGCCATTTGGCAAACTGAGGTAGATATTCAGCAAAGGGGCCAACAGCCTTCCCTTTGCACCAGTGATAGATTTTTAACTCTAGTCAGAAAGCTTTACTGTCCTTTCACATTGTTTACCACTGAACATTCAAAGTGAGTGACTTAACAACAAAAAACATTCAAAAGAAATACGGAATCACCTGATGGGTTATCAGGCTTTTCACAATAAACTTTGGCTCCCTGTTCATTGTCCTTCGAACAGATATACATTGTGAAGATATCTGGCATGACTGTCAGGATAGGTAACTCAGTTTTGTACCGTGCACTGTATCTGAAGAGATGAGGTAGAAGTCTGGTCAGTAGCCAGTGGTACTGGAGGCTCTTCACAGTTACTCAAGACAGGGTTCACGTTCACACCTGAGTCACTGCCTACAAAGGAACTGGAGGTGCGTGGACTGGCACTTCTAACAGAAGAAAGGTGTATCTCATCATTGGACTCATGAGAGAATCTTCCAGAGTCTCCTGTCTCGTGGCTTCCTTCACTGTTGGCTGAATGCTCTGTATCAGCTACAATACTGAATGGCACCTGGAACTTAGATTGCTGGCCTGGGGAACTGGGGGAGTCATCTTCACAGATCAGTACAGTGGTTCCTGGCTGATACAAGCACACAGCTTGGACAAATCTTCTCTGAGGCTGGATAAAAACAAGGTGTGAGAGAGAGGTTAATCAGCCTCTGTCAATAGATACATGAGCAGTGCTTGTTTAATTCCCCACCCCATTTGGCTGGAATGCCTAAAACAGCACTAGCTGGGAGCAACAATCTGTGCCATCCTACAGGAGGAGAAAAAAGGTATAATCCCAATTCTCTCTCATTTTCTTCTACAGTACTAGATGAAATAATTAATTCTACCTAACTAACCACAGATAATGGAGGCTGATTTTCATTGGGGACCCTGTTTGTATTTTAAAGTTATATTTGTGTATCTGTTTTCCCCTCCATGGATTTTCTTTCATGCAGCACGTTTATGGTTGCTCCAAATATTTTACCTGAAGAAGCATCAGAAATATGCAGCTGCATACCAGCTTCTGAGCAGCTTTTGGCTGGAAGTGTATTGGAATATACATTTTAAACATAGCTATGGACAGTCCCTATTTCTTGACTGTATGAGAGAACAATACAAGTCATAATGATTACATAAACATAAGTCAGAGATGATCCTCAGCAAGTATAAGCTGGCATGGTTGTCCTGTAGACTTTACTATTATATACTGCCTTTTATCCAAAGAGGGTGTGGTCAGAGCCCACACAGTATTAGGAGCCATTGACTCTGGAGTTCCAGTTCTAGCTTTACCTCAGAGTTCCCTTTATACTTTGGATGAGTCATTTAATGTCTCACTTTCTGTTTTCCTTTTGTAAACACAGAGATAGTACCACCTACTTACTTAGCACTCAGATTAGTGGGAGGATTATTTAATTGATGTTCATAAAATAAGTTGCAAATTTAGTACTATATCTGTGCATAGGATTGTAATATGCAGGAACCCCTTCATCCATTGATGGAGTGCAGTCAGTTTAAGGTAAAACTTAGCACCTGTTTAATGTTAGAGAGCCACACTACACAACAGGTTAAGGGACAGGAAATGAAGAATTTGCATTTACAAGGAGACAAATTGGTCCCTTCATCCTTTAACACCAAGACACAGAAACCATCCCCTTAGAGGCTAAGCCCTTAGTAATGCATTTTAATAACCACAAGCCTAGCCATCCTTCCTTGCAACGTCATGGGACTGTACCAGGCCTTTCATGTTCACAATAATTTGGGTAGGTTACCTCCTCCGTTTTCACCTTCTTAGAATCTTGGAAGAAAAGCCACCTTTTCTTGCAGCTGGTCTTTGAGATAGGACCATAACTGTTAATAATCATATCAGTTCCCCCCTAAAATAGAAATAGAGAAATAGGAAAAGAGAGAGAGAGAGAGAGAGAATCTTGCTTATTAAATTAAAATGCCATGAGTTTAAAAATAAACCGCAGCACAACAATCATGACAGCACCACGAATACAGCAAAACATTTCAGCCACCATTGCTTCTAGACATCTCCACTTTGAGCTAGCATCACGGATGGGTGTGTGGTGTTAGTCTCTAAGGTGCCACAAGTCCTCCTTTTCTTTTTGCGAATACAGACTAACACGGCTGCTCCTCTGAAACCTGAATTAGGACTGGTTCCTGCAAACACTCTTCAGATGAGCAGCTCCATTAAAGTCAGAGTACTGTGTGTTGTACATACATCAAGTCAATATGACAACATACGAAAGTAAGGATAACTCAGGTTTGCCAGATTGGTCCCTTAGAACTGAAGTTTCACAGGGAAGGGAGCGTGTTTAATTATATATCTGCACAGTGGTGAGCATCCTGCGAATACATGCTTTATTATACAACTTGACTCTAGTAAACCTGCGTCTGTAAGATACATATCGCCTAACGTACTTTACCCATTAAAATATACAAAAAAGATATTGATGCACATTTTAGTACCTGCTCAGCATCACACTCATTTAATGACAGGTTTCAGAGGAGCAGCGGTGTTAGTCTGTATCCGCAAAAAGAAAAGGAGGACTTGTGGCACCTTAGAGACTAACTCATTTATTTGAGCATGAGCTTTCGTGAGCTACAGCTCACTTCATTGGATGTGTAGCTCACGAAAGCTTATGCTCAAATAAATGGGTTAGTCTCTAAGGTGCCACAAGTACTCCTTTTCTTTTTACTCATTTAATGGTGCTGCTTAGAATATTTATGAGCCTGAATGGACTCAGGGCTCAGATTTTTGACAAGCCCTGTTTCCCGGTGCCTTGAATAGAACCCTCTGAGCCAGCAGAAGGATACTCTGAATAGCAGGCTCTTGGCCTGTGGAACACGCGTCTTCTGACGCTTGTCAATCTCAGAGCACAGTGTAAGGCACAGGTAATGGGCAGACATTTAGCTGAAATTTATGATGAATTTACTGGCAAATTAACGTTCCCATCAGACTGCAACACTTGTGGTTGTCCTACCTCATGTGGATGATTATTATTATTGATAAGCATTTATATTGCATATATCTTTAATGATGGGAGGCACTCAGGTGCTATCCCAATGGGCACCATGGAAATATTTATATACTGGAAGTGAATAAGGCTCACAGTACCTTAGCATCAATGAAGCTGTTTCCTACTATCATCGGCAATAAAGATTCTTCATTCTCTGTGATTCCTTCAGTACTCTTCCCCACCTCATTCGCACTGGCTAAGGAGATGCTGGTATGTGACAGCTGGTCCGTGCCTTGCTGCATAGTTTTAGGAGCAGACGTTTTCCTGTGCAATATTAAGCAGGAGTATAACTGTCCCAGAGATAATATGTATAATATAAAGACTAATGCCTTTCATTGAAGTTTTATGAGCCAAATAATACTGATAAGTTCTTGATCTTTAGCTTTTATTTGTGTGCTATTCTAACTCATACAGAATTCAAATGCCATCATGTGCCATAAAATCATATTCCCCCAGGAAATCACACTGCACAGTCTGTAAATGTATATATGGAGAGCATTTCTCATGAATGATTAGTAACATTATCCAGGGGGAGTAAACAATCAAGAATATTAGAGCAGTTCTAGAGCCCCAAGAAAGCTAAGGAGACCCTCTCATCATACTTGCGCTCTGCTGGACACTTTTTTTAAATGCATGTTTAAGCTGAACTGAAAAGCTTTTTATTTTTAAATAACTATTAAAAATCCCCAAATCCCAAAACCATGGGTTAAGACTTACTAATTACTAATGTATTATTCCTTTTCTTACCAGCCAAGACCCATGAGTTTGTGTCCTTTGTATTCCCTCCAGAAGTTAATCATATAGGGTCAGATGGTGACCTCCACTTGCACTGGTACAAGGGAGCTGGGCTCTAATTTGATGGTTCCTCCTGCCCCAAAAGCTTACAGAAGCTCTTACATAGGAATACTGTGGGGCTGAGACTCTTTGGCCTGGCTGGGGCCAAGCAGGTGAGTAGTTGATAAATACCAAATATTCATCTGAGTCTGGAGGGAAACCTGCCAGAGACTTAATGACACTTCAAGCAGCATTAACTCCCCTTTGTGTCTTCTACTGCTTCCACAGGAGAAGGGGGTTGTGTGAAGCAGGGAGGGCCAAAGAAAGCATGGGATCTGAGGGAGATACCCATCTGTGGTATGAACATGATGAAGCGAGGCTGAGAGCTTCAGAGTTCCCTCATCCAAAGCACTTGGACAGTACTCTAGTAAAGAAGCGTCCCTGACGGCTCACATAGATACAGGAGCAACTGAGAACGGCTTATATGAAAGAGTTCATTTCTCAGTAATAAAAGCATACCTGGCTTTACTGCGGTAGATTAAAATCAGGATGCAGATAAGGATGCAGGTCAGGGCTATGCAAACTCCTACAACAATGCCAGTCATTGATTTCTGGTCCAGGTGGTAATAGCCAGAATAAGCTGCAGCATGAAAGAACACATGGCACTTAAAGACTCACTGAGTAAGTATAGTCATCTCCTGTCTTTATATCTGGGAATCGATGGAGTCACAGCCACAATACCGACAAATTCTTCCTTTCAACATGACTTCTTGGCCTTTGCTATCATATATTTTCACATTGCTTTTGAAATAACTTGCAGTGCATATAAATGGCTTGGGGCATTTTCACCTGTGAGGGCTCAATACCATAGGGTTGGTTTTTTTTGTTTAATATATCATATTGCACCAAATCCTGGGAGCCTGTACTCTGTTGTTACTCAATGTGTATTCAGGCAAAATTCTTATTAACGAGAGAGAGAGAGAGAGAGAAAATAGTTGCCTGAATAAGGAAAAATTCAGTTTTTGGCCTATAATGTGTAACATCTCAGCCTAGAAACAATAAAAGGCAAAAAGTACACATCTCTGAATAACTACTGCCCTGTCCTTATTTCTCTCACACTCACAGCTTTAGAAAAACCTTCCAAATCTTGATGAACACACACAGATAAATTCCACCCAGTGACAGCAGAGGGCAACTTAAAATTCCATTCACATATGAAAAAATTACTAAGAGCTATAGCTTAATTTTCACAAAGTATATAATGGACACAGACGTTCACAAAAAGTACCGTAGGTGGGATGCCTTCTTTGGTAAGGACTGTTTACAGGTAGGTAATGACTCACAAAGTCTGTTCCGGGGCTGCTGGAATCCCAGGAACCAGAGGAAATTTTCATATATCTACTTAGAGAGCCATCTTGCCCCTGCTGGCTTCATCCTTACAGGAGTTCTTACCATAACTGACCCCATGACTCTAATATATCATATTAAATATGGGTTGTCTTTACATTTTAAATGCCATAAGGGAGTGATCACAGATTGAAAAAAATACAGACAGCTACAAAGTTGAAATTGATGCAACATTCTAAACCACATTCAAGACAAGAATGCGCATTTCAGTCCTACGTTCTCTGTAGCTGGAGAAAAACTGAAACCAGCAACTATGCAGACTGAGACAAAAAACAGTTACAGATCTTTTTCTCTGGGACTTGACAATGACAGTAACTAACACATTTTTACTAACTTGTGGCATCTGCTGAATCTAATCGTTTAGGCCTTTGATTGGACTCCGAAGTCTCCTTTGGCAGGACTGCAAGCTCCACTGCATTTGAAAAAGGTCCTTCTCCCACCTCATTGGATGCTGCTATTTTAACAATGTAGACATTTCCAGCCACCAGGTTCTCCAGCAAAGCCATGGTTATTGCTCCTATTAAAAGATTTTTTAAAAAAAAGTTTAAGTTAGGCAAACAATGCAAGGAATTTACTGGAAATTTGCTAGCAGGGGCTAGATTCAGCCCCTTTCTTCCTCACAACCTCTGAATCTTGTGTAGAAAAGAGAATACAACCTTCATATTCTAACCATCAGATACAGGATTTGAAGTGAACAGTGACAATCCCTTCTCATTCTGTGTTTTGTATTCTCTCTGTACTGTATGGGTAAAGCACACACTGGTAATTCTGATGTTACAGTAAAGACGTGCTGATACAGTGCGGACTCAAGATTCCAGTACTGTCCACAGAGCCAGCAAACTTAAACCTGACCCTAACTGCATTTCAGTATGACAATATTTGCATTGTGATCCATGCTCCAGGAGCTTGCCCAATATATTCTGCGATGTGTTCCCAGATTACAGCTCCTTCTTCACTGACATCATAATGCAAATGTGACACGGCATTGGGATGCAGGCAGTTTTGAATTGAAATACACAGAATTTCAGGTCAGTTTGGCAAAATGAATGAGACAGGTTTGGGCAGCATCATACTGTAATTTTAAGATCAATTCAACCCTATTTAGTTCCAGCCAGGTTCATCTGATTATCATATACTGAAACAGGACTACTAAGAAACAGATTAGAAAAAATGTCTCTCTCACATATGAAGACAGGCAGAAACACAGATTACATAAGTGAATAGGACTCACTCACGTAGTACTTACACAGGCAAAACTCCTATCAGAGTCAATGAGAATTTTTCCTTCACAGGGATTGCAGACTGGTGCTTACAATTCCAAATGCTTTTTAAAATGCCATAGACATACATTTCTGTGTTTCTTCCTACTATAGAAATATGTTACTTTTCTTTCCAAAATAGTGGCAGCTCCAGGACCTAATGTATCCCTGTGCTTCTCCATAGATTCCACTCACTTAGCTACCCCAGTTTTTCCATAAAAAACATCCATTAGCTGAAGGCATTTGAAGTAAAATGTAAGGTATCGGTAACCAAAGAAGCTATAACCATCAAGGGTGAAAGGTTATTTTTCAGTACTAGAGGCTCTTTCCCCCAGCTCCTTTTGCATCAGCTGCAATTCTAAAGCAACTAAGCAATTTGTGCTGATTTACTGCATACCGAGTGTGTAAAGGCTGTAACTTCTGATCCACTGCAAGTAAGTTTGGAAAAAGGGGTAGGGGGGGAAAACAAACCAAGGAAGAAAGATTCTTCACATTGCAAATAAGCAACAAACTGCAGCAACATTTCAGACTCTGCTGTTGTTGGCACGAGCTCAGTCAAATTAAGGATTTTTTAAAATGTTGCTGAATGCATAATAATCCTCAGTGTTACTTGAAATGTACCCCTGAAGTCTGAGCTGGGAAGAACTCTTAGATCTCTTGACATTTTGGAATCTTCTGCAGAAGGTTAGTTTGGGGATAAATTAGTACCAGGTGTTACATGTGACTCGCTATTCTTGTCAAAATGAACATTAAAAATGCTACTACCTCAGCTTTCCTGCAAAGGGAGGAACATGGGACTATCATTGCATTTGCCCAACCTTCCTTTCATGCCCCCCTCAACATACCTATCACTAGACTATTTAAATCTAAACTTAAAAGAGCATAAGAACTTATTTTAAAGTGTCAGAAACTTGAATTCTTCCCTAACCCTCAAGCTTTAACCTATCACTCAAAACACAAAATCAGTGACTGCAAAGCTGATTGAGATTTATGGTTTTCCATTTCCCTACCTTCTACAGCATTTTTAATATGACATCATATGAAAATGGACAGTGGTCTATATAAAAACTATAGGTCTCCATATCCCTTGTTCTAAGTATACACAGCAAGTTTTTACTGGAAATTCCCATAGTTAAGATTGAGTTGAACTATATATTTAAAGCAGGGATTCAACCACTTAATACTATATGATGAATACAACATGTCTTCCCCAATACTACAGCACTTATACTTCGAGTACAAAATAAATTTTCTGAGATTTACAAGTAAATCTGTTAATTAGCTTAGTAGTTAAAATGGTTCCTTTAAGAAATTTAGCACTGGGTGTCAGTCCATTCTTGGACTCAAATGATCTTAATAGCGTTCATCAAACATGTTAATCAAACTTCCACTTCTAGTCAAAACTCACTGAAATCTCAGGTATTGGCTACATTTCAAGACTTCTTTAGGATCAATGACCTTTTTGCTGTTATTCTTCAGAGCTGAACCCTTCTCTTTGGGCAGAAGTTGATGAATAATGTTCTACTACACAGAATTCCATCGAGAACTACCATCTTTCAAAATGTCTGCCATCCCCCAATATTCTCACTGGGATTGAGGACACAGTAGCACTTAGTGAGTGGCTGTTTGTAGAAAAGCATCTCTCTCCAATTGTTCTCAAAGGGGTTGTATGTCTCCATCTCCTGACAGAATAGGGGACATCCATCATTCCTGAAGTGCACTTGGCTTCACTCTCATTGAAAGTAATGGGACATTGAAGCCATTCTGAAAAAGGGCAAATTCTTTGTGACTTTCCCTGAGGGACAGTCTTTAGATTCCAGAGTCCAGCCTCTGCTGACAAATACATTTTCAGTTATGAAAACAAAAAGAATTAAGCCTAGATTTTTTTCTTCAAAAGTTACCTATTGCACTACTCTGCCCTACAACTCCCTGGGTTTCTAATGCTTGTTTTAAGGATAATGACATTACTGGTGGAATGTTATTTATCCTAAACTACCGATATGTATTCTGACCTCCATTTTCATAGTTTTTCTGGGAATAAGAGAAGCCTATTGTTGAGATGCAGCTCTTCAAAGAGCAAAAATCCTACTCTATAAAAATGGCACCTTCTTACTCACCAGATCTGCTTTCTGTTTATTCAGAGTCATATCAGATTACTTTACTGACAAAAATAAGCTTTACTTTTACTTTTTCTTTATGTTAGTTCTGCAGATCCAACACAGCTATATGAGAGAATGAGGTGGATTATATTCTGGCTCTTGTATCATCAATATAATTAGTTAAATTCCAATTGCAAAATCTTTATGATTGGGGGTGAAAAGCCAGAAAGCATGATGTTTGGAACCCAAATTGAGTTTGCACAGTTAACAGTCAGTATTATACAAAAAACATGGAATCCTGCAATGTCATTTTTACAGAGTCACTTTACAGAGTATTGCAACACTTTAGGAACTTGAGGTCTGCACGTGTGCGCTTAAAAATGAAACCTCCACTATTATCCTGACAGTGGAACTATGTGGAGCTGATTAAGTATAACTGGATTTATGGAAAGTTTCAGTTCATTGTACAAGTTGAATGGCAATGCACTGCAGAAAGCTTCTCTCCCCGCTCATTTTGTTCTATTTACCAGTTTTAAATGTCTTTCCACCACAATCCAGCGAATAATTCTAAACTAAACACATTCAGAATTGTCGTGGTATTGCCATGAATGTTAGCAGCACTTTTTTCTTTTGTTGTTGATCACAAGACATTTTGCTATTTTCAGTTCTCTTACAGTGGATTGCCATAGCTTTTCCAGCTCTAGCCTTTATGATTATAGTTTACCTTCTCTGTGTAGCACTTGCCACTCTCCAGCAATCCAAGCCTTCCTAGATGCATAGAGGATAGTATAGCGAGTAACAACTGTTTCAGGACCATCAGGTGGCTTCCAGGAAACCAAAGCAGTATCATCTTCTATCAAAGTTACCTTCACTCCAAGTGGAGGGCCAGCTGGCGCTAGGAGGATAGTAACACAATATTATTAGGGTAAACACATTCATATGCACTTAAATTACTCCAAAGGAAAAAGATGGGCAGATTCTAATACCATAGCAATGGCTATAGCTAAGTTCTAAGTAGACAACTGGGCAAACACACACCAGTGTGCTCAAAAGACACTTTCTTTTCAGTTCAAATTTAGTCTACAGCTTAGATTTTGTAAAATCAAGCTTTTAAAAAAACCTTATGATCATGATTTTCCTTTTCATTCCAATGGAGACAGTTGTTTATAAACAAATTAACATTTCCCTTAGTGTGTGCCACTCAAATACTGCAACACAGAGAAGGTGAAAGTGAAACTGACTTTACTACAGATTTTCATAGTCCAAGTTGACAAATGCAAATGTGTAAACAAGTATCTCAAATAGTGAATAGGAAATTGGATTTTTAACATTGTTTTAGTTTTGATAGTTTCAGGTTTTGATAACACGGATAAAGATTATTTCCTCCCAAAATATATGATTTAAAAGTTGACAGTCTCCCTTTAATGTGATAATTTAAAGCTCTGATTTATGTTATTTTAATCCAAATGATATTAATGGAGGAAGCAAGTTACATTTTATACTCCATCATCTGTGGATTTTCTCTCAGAATTCCTATACATTTTCACAGCTGCAAAATAGTGAGGGTGTGCAGAAATGCAGTTAGAAGGACAATCCTGACAAACAGGAGCAATAGCAAAGCAACTGGGAGAAAGATGAAAGACAAAATTCACTTAACAAAAATCAAAACAGACTATATGACAGTTTCCAGGCCCACTGACTTAGAAAACGTCCTTTTTAGTACAGTAATATTATTGGTTAACTATACCCTACTGCCCTTACCTTCTGGAAGTGTGGTATGGTAAACTACTGGACTCCAAGGACTAGACAACTGATCCACATGCAGTCGAACTGCAAACTCATACTTGGTTTTTGGTTCTAGACCTTGAACCAACATGTGAGTTTCCGACCTATACAAAAGAATTAATAAAAGATATTTAATAGTAAGAGTGGCTGATGGTTTCAAATCCAGATGAGATCCCTTGGGAACTAATATGCAATTCACCCCTGTGCAGAGGGCTAGTACAAGGCTTGTGGACCAGTTAAACCTATTTTGAGTTGTCCACCAGTGAATGTCACTCTGGGTATTTAGAATGATGCTTATAAGTCACAGTTTAGAAGTTGGTCACAAAATTAATGAGACATTTGGATCCGCTTTGACTCTTTGGGGCCAAATTCTGCTCTCAGTGATACCTGTGTTAATTGTAATGATACCTGACTAGCAGTACTGAGATCAGGGGAGTAACTCTGAATTTACACTGGCATTACAGAGCACAGAATCTGCCTCTGGCCATTTATTTAATCTCCCATGTACTGTTTGCATCTTCTGTGTTCAAATTTTGCAAGCCTGTATTTGAAATTTTTTATTTTTGTCAGAAATGGGAGTTTACTGCCCTGCTGCAGTTATTTTAAGTACAAGTAACAATGTGAAAATTATACCACATCTAATTTTAAAGTCAGAGAAATGGAGAGAAATGTATTAGTAATAAAATAAAACCTAGGTTTTAAAACACCACTTTTCCTTTCCTAAACACATGTGCAATACTTTATTAATAAACACAATCAAAATACTTAGCACTGAAAGAAGTTTTCATCGTCTAAGTCCTTTACAAGCATTAACAAAGCCTTACAGCACCCCTGTGAAAGCAGGTAAATATTAGCCCCATTTTACAAATGGGAAAATTGAGGCAGAGAGGTTATGGCCCAAATGCCATAAGTGATCTCTAATTTTGGGTGCTCATCTTAGGACATCCAGGGCTAGATTTCCAGGCATCCTGAGCACCCACAACTCCAGATGAAATTAAGCAGAGTTGTGGGTGCTTAGCACCACTGAAAATCAGCCAACATCTCAAATCAGGCACGCAAAACTAAAGAAGAGTTTGGGGCCAACGTCATAGAGGGGTATGTCAGAACCACAAGTAGGACTTGATCCTGCCAGGGGTGCAAAGGGAAGCCCTACCATGTGGATGGGATCCACAAAAGTGCGGAGCACAGCTTCATACTGCTGGCACAGATCTCTAGTTGTGCTCGGAGCAAAGTGTGTTACACATACACATCTCTCAGAGTGGAGGAGGTCCACAAGCATCTGGCTCTGCAGAAGCAGGCAGAAGGAGTGTGGTGCTACACCCGCTGCACACATGCAATCCAGGTGGCAGCAGGTGAATGTAGATGTCCCTCTCTCACCAAATTCCTCTACACCTATCAGCGGCAACTTTAGGGGCCATATGCACCAGCATGGACTGGGTAGGGACCGGGCTATTTCTTGATGAGCACCATGGCCCCAAACACAGGCAGCCTTAATGGAATAGCAGCATATTGGAAGGCTGACCAGCCCATGCTGTGTGCCCACCTCAACCAACTGGAGAGGTGACCCCTGACAGACTCCCCCGCCCTGTACAGTTACAGAGCCACGCGTTCCTCTGATGCTTGTGCTGCCTCTCCATGGGAACTCGTCCCCTGCCACACAAGCGGGCTTTGGATTCTGCACCACTCCGCACACTCTTCAGGGCTCAGTGCATTCAGTGGCATGCTGAGATCAAGCTATGTAGTTTAATCCTGGGATTAGATCACTTGACCATGTCCTATCTTTGCCAAGTTTATCTGTAAATAGCACATCTATTTCATTTTGAACACTCTTCCAGTCTCTCTTTTCTTTGGACAAAGAAGAGCTCAGAGATACATTAAACTTGCGTCACATCACTGACAAGCAACTCAACATTTGTGTCCTCATTCCATGACTCAGCTACACTTGGAGCAGGGCTGGAACTGAACACCTCAGCAAAGAGAAAGTGGCAGGGAGGAGACCCAGTCTGTCAACAAGGGTGAAGAACTACAGTGTTCTAATAGCACCTCCTAAGAATCAAAACTGGCAGAAGCCTGGGAAAAGTACCTGCCTTGCAGCTAGAGGGAAATATTACAGTAAGCGGCAATCAAAAGAGGGCAGACAGATGAGACAGTAAAGAGGAAGGATCTGGGGAACAAAGAATAACTTGCAGAACTGTACATACGTTTGAAGGTAGAGCACCAAAGAGGCATTCTGCAGCCCCACAGGATTACAGCGAATGGTGTAGTTAATGACTTGTGCAGAGGTAAATGCAGGCCTTCCCCAGTGGAGGTAGATAGAAGATGAAGTGTTAGCTTTGGCATATAGGTGGTGAGGTGGTGGTGGAGGAGGAACCATACGATCACGGACAGCTGTTTAAACAAAGAGAAGCAGGATTTGTTTCATGAACTCTTTACAAATGTTGGCAGATTAGATAAATCTGAGTAGATAAATTTGGATCCAGATCTGATATTGTCCAAGGTTAGACAGTGCTCAGGGGTCTGGTTCAGACTGTTACATGATTTCTAGCAAAATCTAGCACCACATCAAGAGATCGGCCCTTTAATCTAATTAAAAATGGGGACAAAACATCAGCAGGAACAGTGGAAATATCTCTGAAAAAATCATTGACAGGGGGCAGGTACTAACCAGAATGACAAGGGAAGGAAGTGCTGCTTGCTATTTATCTTGCTTTTCCCAGTTGTATTTCATGTTTTATAAGTACAACAGAAGCCTGTTGCAAAATGGTGGGTAGAGAGGATTTGGGGGATCTGTAGTTGTCACAAATGTTATGATTTTTAAAAAAAGTTTTATAAATTGATATTTTAAGAGATTAAAAACACAGACATGCAGGGCCGCTATGGATCCTGAACTGCTCAGTTGTTAGTAGAACTGGTAATGCAACTTCAGCACTTACAGACACATCCTGGAGTACTGACTGTTTGATCTGCCTGGTAACCTTCTTCCATGCTATTATATGCCAATAACCTTACATGGTACTTTCTTCTGGGATCTGCACAGAGAGAAAAGGAATAATTAGACTACAGATGAAGAATACAGATTTTCAAAAATCTACAGAAACACTAGGATGCTGCTACGATCAGTTTGGTCCTACTACAATTCTGGTTCAAAACTTGCTCACTGGAATCAGAGAATAACTCCAATCTTGCTCCCATTGGCCTAAACCAGAGTTATAGCATAGACTTCAGTGGAGTGGGATTAATCTCAATTTCCTTCCACAGCACTGGCTCACTTTTGTGAACATTAGTCAGTGCACAGAAATAACATTCAGAATATAAGGTAGGCTATTGGAGTAGAGTATATAGAATGAGTTTCAGAAACCAAGATTTGTTTCTGGAGATACAGGATAGAATGAGATGGGACAAAGACAGGAGAGTGGGACTGGAATCAACCAAGAAACAGGCAGAAATGATATGGCTATGGGCCTCCAGAGTTTATACAGTGAATACAGTAATGCCAATTAATATGTCTTCTGACTTATAACATTAGATTTTAGGTATTTTCTTTAAAGCTGATTCTGGCTTGCTTAATGGGTCACTGTCTACTTGTTTTTTTTTAAAAGGTGATTAGTTTTTAAAACTTCTGTTTTCTAATACAGCTCCTTTTATGCCCTACATTTTAAAAAAAAAATCCTTTAAACATTTTGTTCTAAGGGTTTTTCTGCTTCCCTGGTGGGTTTTAGATGGATCTTTTGGGTAGGCCTGAGAGTAATGCCACCAAACATGCTTAGGCCTTTTCTTTTTAGCCTTTGAAAATCTTCACCAAAGTAAACAAACTGAAAAATATAGGGAAAAAGTGTATTTTTTTCCTTCTAATCTCTCAGTTTTATTAAATGTGTGGGTTATTTGCAACAAGAGTGTACATAAAGTTTTCAGATTGATTTTCAGGTAGATAAGTGTCCCTTTAAGGAGTAAATTTTCTGCTACTGCTACATAAATTCTCCATTGCTGTTGCTGGAATTCTTATAGTGCTATAGCATTGGGAGACACGTTAGGATGTTTCCCTGTGTTATTGTTTGTGGATACAGGATCTATTTCCTTCCAAGATTTAAGTTAAAACGGAAATTACAAAAGTGTGTTGGCCTTGTCTGGTATTTTCTTCATCCTAAAATATCTGCATCATAATTTTATTCTTTCTGAAATTAAACTAACTTCTTTTTTGTTTAAACTAGTATTTAATGCAGCCCATCTCAGACAATTCAAGTGGACTTAATTCAGTGACATTTCTTAAAACAAAATATGACCCTTTGTTTAAGTTAAATTCTTAGCTCCTTCTGCAGGCCCTCTGCATTTCTAGTACCATTTTAACAAAATCTCGTTAACTTGAAAATTATCATCATTATGGAAGTGTCACAATCTATATTTTGTAAAATGCTTTCATGATGGTTTTGAAATAAATGAATATATTGACATAGGCAGATTCATATACTTAGACAGTATCTAGGAGGGATTAAAGAAAAACAACAACTTTTAATGGGATTCTGTTGGGTAGGTAATGCTGCAAGTGTAGACTTTGTTTTAACTATTTTTTGTTACCGAATCAAATACAAATGATTTCATGATTTTAAGTGATCAGTGAAAGAGTTTGTTTGGAGTTAAATTCCCCTTGGCTGTGTTTAAAACAAACTTTGCAGCAAATAAGTGCATATGAGAATCAAAAAGTGAAACTGAATAATATGTTTTCACTGTCCAAGCAGAATATAATGCTACAAGTAAACAACAAACAATAAAAGGAAAATTATTTTTAAACATTCTGTCAGTGTTAAAGAATAAAGTGTTGCAGTAGCACAGATAAGGAATATTGTTTAATTTTATTTAACCTGAAAATATATCTTTATAAACCTATTAAGTCAAGTGCTACTAGACCACAGACTACAATTAGAAAGGCAGACACAGATACTTAGATTGATCTCAAGGAAAAAATAAAAAAATGTCTGGATGGGTTTTAAAACTGGAAATTTCAGCAGAATGTCAAGATCTCACTGTTGTCTCCCAAGTAATTAAAGGAAATGAGAAAAACATCTAAGCATTTGAAAAACCAAAAATGAGAGAGAGATGAACATCCGAAGTACCCAAAAGTTGAGATAGACCAAATCCAAACTATTAAAACCTCTTGGTGCTGCAACATTAGGTAGGGAATCTCATAAAAATGGGATCTTATTCTTTCCAGGGCTTCCTGCTTGGCCAGCAACACCATCCCATGATATTTAGGCTCCTCTGCTTCTAGCTGAGAGATCTAAGAAAACTTTATTTTTTAACATACATTTAGTTATAAGAACTTCTTTCAACATCCCAGAGAATTACTTTTGCAGTGAGGTCTGGAGGAGTTGTTTTTCATTTATTATTTGAATTGAATTCTCCCATCCTTTCCCAGCAAAATCCAGAATTCAAATACTACTTAGAGGGCCTTTAAAGAGACACCATATAGCCAAGTGGTATTCAACTGACCAAGTTTCACAGTCTATCCTTTTCTTTACAAGTTCCTCCAGAGGAGACCCCTGCTGCATTTCTGCAAGACACAGGATGACAGACATGACAATCTATCATCCTGCTGAGCACCTTCAAAAACGTCTTGTGCCCTTTGAAAGTGGTCACCCAGAACTGATCATCTTCACTGTGCAATGAAGAATAGCTAAGGCCTAATGTCCTGCTGAGCTGAATGAGCCTGTGAGGTCTGTTTATACTCACTGCTTTTTTCTTAACCTGAATTCCTCATTAACACTTGATAAGGCTTGGGGAGCAGAGGGAGAATTTCACTCCCAAAAATCAATAAAGTAATTTTTTAAAAACGTCTTCCCGTCACTCTATTTTTAATCAGACTTTTTTAAATAAAAGCATCTGCATTAGTCTGCATCAAGTACAAAATTTAGTATAATTGCTCTTATTCGGGCACAATATGAAAAGCTTCAAAGACTGATCACATAAAGAACATTAACTTTATATAAAAACACAAGCAATCTGCTCCTTTTTTAACACAGGAAGATCTCTGAATTGTCTTTACTGTTTAAAAGCAAAGTTCTTTACATAACGAATCTGCTACACTTGAGACAGCATGGTTCAATTCCTAGCTAGGTTGCCTAGATCAGAAATTGAATCCATAATCCTTGTAGAGAGTTTACTAAGCTGCTATACATTGCTGCATTTCACAAGACTCTAGGTTTTATGGCTGAGAAAGCACATATTGGCATTATAGCCTGTTACTACTAAAGGGTGCTGCACTATGTACAAGACTGAAACAACCTAAAAATAGTAGAGATCAAAAAAGACAAAAGGACAAAAAAAGGATGTAAGAGGAAACTGTACTGGACAGACAAAGAAACTAATATAAAATCACAAATTACTCTCATAATATTGGTGCAATATCCAATTCAAAGGATATTTGCAAAAGATATATTGGTCAAGACAAAACATATGTAAAACAAAATCACCAGTACCTACAGATCTGGATCTAGCTCAGATAAATCAGGAAAAGGAATTTTCACAATCTATTTTATGAAGGGGAAAGAAGATATTTTTGTTTTGAAATAGCCTGTATTTAGAATATGAAAGGCATTATTTGTTGGGTTGATTTACTGTCTTGAGAAATGATTTATTCCTAGGTGGCAATCCCAATACATACTTGGCATAAACACTTTTAACTTTCAGTTCATCAACTGGATCAAACAGTCATTCCCTAAAGCCAGGCATATCCTGGGAGAGAAAACAAACTTAAGGGGCTTCCTTATCTTTATCCAGTATGGGTATCCTGAACAGTTTAAACATAAATCACTGATAAAAGATTGGTAATGGCATGCCAACCTGGGGGTCTGACAGTTTGGAGTTTAATTTATGCCATCCATGTACATTAGACAGCAATGGGGTGGCTTCAGAGCCTCAGAAGTCAACGCAAAACCCACAGAGGCCATCACTCATGTACAGAAGTAACACATCTCTGCCACAAAAGATTGTTGCTATTCAGCAACAACTGGGCTTAGGGATTCACTTAACCAACTTCACACAAAATTCAGTATCTTAATTGAATTCAAAAACTGAATATAACATAAAGACATTGGCTGTGTGTGATATATTTGAATAGTTTGATATAACTATGAACTGATTCATTTAACTCCAGAAAGTCTGATTTATTTGACTGGGTTTCACTAAAAGTATGATCCTGGAGACAAGGTGAATAGGAGCTATTTTTAGTTGATTCGCTGGCTGAATTGAGTTAACTTGTTCCTTTCTTTTTTTCTTTAAATAATGCTGTTGCCTGTATAATATATATATTATATATCGTAAGATTGAGTGCCAGGCTACTTAGAGCTTTTCTGTAGGCATCTTTTTTATTATTTAAATCTAAATAAATATACTGGTGAAAAGGACCTAAACTGTACAGCTCATGTAGATCAAAAGACCAGCACTGTTGAGATATTAATATAAATTTGGTAGACCTATTTCATAAGTTTTACTGTAATTGTACTTCTACAGTACATAAACTAGTGCATAAACTGTGAAAACATTATGGACCAGATGCTCAAATGATATTATCTGGCATAGCTCCAGAGGTCTCAGTGAAGTTATGCTGAGGATCTGGTCCATATATCTAGTACCACCAATAAAGTCAACATTAAAAGAAAAATATATGACTTCAACCATAAGTTGTACTTTGATAGTGAGACCAATAAAATAAGCGTTGGCAAGAGCCAATGTGTCTAAAAAGACATGGATTAGTTTAAAAAGTATTTACTTAAATGTTCTTGATTCAGATTAACTTTCTTTGCTCAAAAGTATTAATATTTAACCCGTCTTGATGTAGGACCTACAACATCTTCTCACTAGGCTGCAAAGCTGTGCAGTTTCTTTAGGTACTTCAGTATCTTCTGGTGAAATGATATTTTGTAATCCACATCCCTTTAGTTCGCCCTCCCACAAAATTCCTCAGTGAGCCAGTACTACTATCTGCAGAAATAACAAGGAGCACGTGTGGCACCTTAAAGACTAACAAATTGGAGCA